CGCGGACAGCCGCAGGCTGCTGCCCGGCACAACGCGCTGCCCCCACTGTTGTCAGGCACCGAGGGGGTTTCTTTTCCCCGAGCTGCACCCCTTGAAGACTCCCGAAGCATGGCTCTGCCACGGCCACATTCCCACTTCGGTCTGCGCTCAGGACTTGTAACCGGCTGCTTAGTTCTTCTTACGGAACCACTTAACAGAAAGTTGATTAATCCTAGCAAGCCGCTGTGTCCTCCCTCGGCAAAGAGCATTTAGATTGCTCACTGACGTGTCCACAGAAGATCTCTAGTAGCACTGTAGTGACTGGCAGTGGCTTTAGGCTTTTTTGTCTTTTTATTTTGTGTTGCTCAGCAAGATAAAGAGTCCTTGCAAAGAGCCTTCTGAGAAAGACCCTTCCTAAACCTTCTTTAAAGCTAGTCACAATGAATTCTCAGGTATATTTTCCCCTGTACTTCAGTTTATTGCTACAGCCATTAAATTTCACCTTTTTTCTATTGCTTTGTTACTTACAGAAGTAGAGTGCCTATTCAAGCTTGAGAAAGGAGTGAGAACCATGAACCAAGAAGTACAGTCAGTATAAAAGTGATCCAGGAAGTTAGCACAGCAGAGGTAACACAAATAGGTTTTGCTTTTTCCCCTGCTGTAGTCACAACCACCTTTGCTGCTCCTTTTACCCTGCATTCACTTACTAGTCCCAGTCATGAAACAAGTCAAAAGAAATGGACAGACTGTCTCAGGTCATACTAAACAGTTACATGCCACCTGCAAGCAAATATTTCTTTCTGATATTCTCCTTTTAACTTATATAGTTCTCCTGTTAAATGACTATATAGGATTTTTCCACCTTTCTCCTTCTAAAGGAAAAGAGAACATAAGGATATTTTTTCTCACTATTTCCTGAACCAGACCCATTTTGCAGTTTTTATTTCACATGCATTCACTGGACTGTTGCTCTGAGCAGCATCACTTGTCATAACCTAATGTGAAAAGCTACAATAGGAGAGGAAAATGAGACAGGGATTAATGGAGTTTTGCAGTGCTGTTGCCTTTTGGCATTAGTCCCTTCCATGCTCCAGTTGCTACCTTAAACATGTTTCTGTTCAGCTTGGAGGACCACTGTTACACATTCCTTTTTTGTGGGAGCACAACATTCAAACCCTCATGCCCACCCTGATGCTTGTGCACACACATTCCAAGTTCATTCAGGAAATTGACTTGTCTAAAAACACTATTATATTTGGTAAAGATCATCTTAACCATAATAAACTCCCTGAATTAACTTATGCAGTCATGCAAGCACTATCACCACTGCAAGAGGGAAAAGCTGGGACTACAGCATACTAAGCATACATCAGCTTGAGATATTGGGGCAACAAACTCACAGGGCCCTTCATTCATCTTGCATAGTGCCTAGAAACACTACAAAGCAGTACAAAGTTCCTTGGACTCTGAAGATGCTGATACAAAGTCAATTATCATAGAATCACAGAATTTTAGGGGTTGGAATGGACCTTACAGATCATCTGTAATCCCAACCCCCTGCCCTGGGCAGGGACACCACCTCACTAGAGCAGGTTGCTCAAGGCTTTGTCCAACCTGGCTGTGAACACTGTCAGGGTTGGGGCAGCCACAGCCATCCTGGGCAACCCGTGCCAGTGTCTCACCACCCTCACAAGAAAAAGCTTTCTTCTAATATCTAACCTAAACTTCCCCTCTTTCAATTTGAACCCATAGCCCTTGTCCTATCACTGCAGTTCCTAACAAAGAGCTCCTCTCTGGCTCCCTTGTAGGCCCTTCGGATATTGAAAAGTTATGAACAGACCTAGGCTGTTGATATCTATCTTTGATAGATCAAAGAGCAAATTGGAGTTTTCTGGAACAGGTAGGTCTCCAAACTGCCAGAATGTTGAATTCAGGAGGACAATAGCCAAAAGGTGAGGTACTGTTCTTTCATATTTCATAGCTGGACTGTCTCAAAATTTCAAGAGAAGCACAGACAATTTTGTGCAGAATTCTAGCATCAAGAATTGGTTTAGATTCTCTCCTGCCATAGGACATAGTCCTTCAGTGCATACCAGGTGATTCTAACTTTTATCTGCCCTAAGCTATTTAAGTTCTGAAGGTAATTGTTCACTTGCTTTGGAACTCTGAAGCCTCTCTCGTAGCATTTTTTGTCTTCTGGCCAGTTTTCAGGCTTCTGTTTCACGCTTCACAATTAATGGTTTAGTTGTACAGTAACAATGCCAATAGCAAATGGCTGTGCAAACCTTGGAGACTGTATCACCCACAACCTGGTTTCTCACATCAGCCTTGAATTTATGTATCACCCAATTTAATACCTAAATCACTGAGCACATGAAGCTGCAGTTACAGAAGTTTCTCTGACCTTAACTCACCTATACATTTTTTCACATTCCTCATTTTCATTTCACAGTTCATGTAAATGCATGTACACATAGATCTTGACAGAACTCTAAATCAGCAGTGAATTCAATTACAAGACAGTAAAAACAGTTCATGTTGTTACTTTAGCACACTATTTACAGTTTTTGAAGTGTAGCAAAATTAAGGTCATGCAAAAGCAGACTCATTGCTTTCTACTGGGTTTTGAAGCAAAAAGATACCAAGGCACTGTCAAAACCATTAACACTTCCATTCCCAAAGCAGTGTTCCCAGAGGAATTAGACAAATGAACATGTATTTTAAAAAGGAAGCACAAACAGAGCATACTTGGAATATACTCACAAAGTTCTGATCTTCCAAAGGAAAAAGTGTAGAGAGAATAAAAGCAGGTATCTAGTTGTCAATCGTGTTCCTTCAAAGTGTTCTCAGGCATCTCTCCTCAGGACTGGTGCTCCTTGTAGGATAGTACTGGAGACACCGGAGGAACTGGTGTTATTGGAATTGTAGTCAACACCTGATTCCGGAACACAAACATCTTAATCCTGCCAAACACCCAAAGGAAGACAAGGAGGATGCTGACATACTGGATCCAGGCAAATTTAATGATTTCCCAGAATCCTGGCTGATATTTAAAGAAAGTCAAGGCATTTTAATTAAGAAGCTTTTGTTGCTACCACGGCATAGCTAAACAAAGGAACTCGGAGTCAGAAAGGCATAAAACTGGTTAAGACATCAGTTTCTGTGGCAAATGCAAATCCTCTGAGCCATGCAAACACCTGTAAGTCTTTTACCCTAGAAGGTAACAAAAGCTGCAGAGAATGTCTGTCCCAGAAGACATTTAAATCAATTCTGGGTAAAGCACCTATTTTGTGCCTGACTCACCACAAGGCAGTTATTGATAATACTCAGGCAGGCAAGCAAACCTTGTAAGAAGTGTGCTCCATACAGGTTGTTTTAAACACTGACTTGTTCTTGTCTAAGAAAATGAGCAAAGAACAAAATGAATGAAGAATTAGGTTGTAAAAAAAAAGTTCAGGTCTGTTGGCACATGTAACAGATTTACTACATCCACTGCAGGAGTTACTATTTGGAGAGCTCATCTGGCATACAGATGTCTAATGATTTGCTTTAGGTCACAGACTACAGAGTATCATGCTTTGCTAGCAGCACTCATGACAGACTGGGACAGCAAGTGCTGCATGAGCAAAGCAAGATTCACTGACAACACTCACTGAGAATGGCTAAGAAAGCGCCTTAAAGCTCTGTTTAGTAAAGCTGAAAAGCAACACAGGTTCCCAGCAGAGAAAGGCAAAAAGAAGTTATGCAAGCAGAACCATCCGGAGGAATGGGCAAATAGGTATTTTGTTGACTTCAGAACTTCAGCGTTTGCTTAGCTAATAAAAGTTTCATCTAGAAGCAAACTGTTTTCATTTGGCCCAAATAATGCAATCCAGTTGTGCCACAGTTCACACAGTTTCCAAAGGATATAAGATAACTTCCATCGGATAGCGAATAGTGGCATCAATGACAAATGGTGTATCTGCTGCTCTTCCAGTCATCCAGACAGGGCTGGGATCAGAAAAGACTGTTGTCACTAAAATGGGAAAGGAAACATCCAGGTTAAGGGGCTTAACACAGAACTCGAATGCCTCACAAAACAGCAGCCAGTATGGTACTACTGCTCTGTAGTTCATAGCTACACATTAAGCCTTACCATTTCTATCCCAGTATGCTGCAATGATGTTTGTTAGATCATAGTCACTTGCAAAAGGACTTGTGCCATTGACCACAGACACCTGTTACAACAAGGAGATGTTTGCATTATTTGTCCAGTCTTCAAGACTTTCTACTTTCTACAATGCCCTTGAAGGAATGCACATAAACACCAGACTGTACATCTTGGCAGAATAAACTCTCCTCTCTTTTAGCCTAACAAGAAAACACTGGTTCCAAAGTTCTACGGTTCACTCTGTGCAGAAGTATAAACAATTAGGGTGTCACCTATGATCCTAGGAGAATAAAGATGGGTGGGAAATTGATGGAGAAGGGAAAAAAGTTTCCTCACATTGTATCTGGTATCCAGTCCACAATGGTTAAGTAACTGCCTCTGGTTCAACTTCAGGTCTCCATTCATATAGAGCTGAGACCCTGGCACAGGAGAGAAAAACTGAAGAAAAGCCATGCTCTGCATCACAAATGTCGACATTCTCTGAAATGGTGAACACAAGAAAAGAGAATTTGGGGGAGGGAACACAACACACTTTTCTACCTCTTTGTATCTACAAATTTTTTGCATAGATCTGATTTTTTTCTGATTCCCAAGTTTCAGACCATCATATTAGTTTAAACAAGGGAACACCAAATAAAAAATATGCTATTTTTAAAAATGAACTTTGTTATTAGTTAACTAACATTATTAACAAAAGTTCCACAGGAAATTCAGTGAAGTCCAACAGTCTGTGGCTAAAGAAAGAGATTTTAATTGCCATGGCATGTAAAAAGCAGTAAGATGACTAAACACCTTCACTGGAAACACATTTTGAAAAACTCAGCAGTCAAAATCAAGGACTCCTGCTCTGCAATAAGGACCAAATAAAGAAGTTCCTTAGCTCTTACCAGCCACTCAATCTGAAGGAAAATGCTCACATTTACTGTGGAATAAAAATGTTGTGATTTTGTAACTCTCTGTGATACTAACCACTGACCTAATACTTCAGCCCAAATTTAGGACTACAGGGCCTTTATTCTGGGCCTCATAGGTTTAAGAATGTTTTCCACATCACACATCTATGCCTGCTAAGCTCGTCAATCTGCAATCAGCAAAGTCTCTGAATAAACTAAGCCTAGTCTCCCTAGTAAAACAAATTGTGTGGCTGCATCTAATGTAGCTCTGCATTACTGTTCCTTTCAGATGTATCCATGGTTCTCTGTGCACTGCTGTTTTACTTGTGGGTTTAGGTATTAACTGCACTGCCACCTGAGACAGAGTGGCAGCAGAACTGCATTGTCTCATCTTCTGAAACACCTTCGTCCACCTCCCAGTTACAAAGACACAGATCCTGGCAGATGATTACCAATGCTTTGAGAGCTATTAAGTAAGCAAAATCTATGGCTATGAGGCTGCTGCTAAGGCCTGTCTCTGCATCTCAGAAAAGGAACTGGATATGTCAAGACCCAGCAGTGTGTAAGAATGCACATCCTTCTGCCTCCTGCAATACCCTGTTATTTCCTGGTGCCACCCACACCAATATCCACTGTTGTGCATTTCTGTCCTCTATGCTGCACTACAGCCTGAGAGAACACAGAGCTTCAAAAAATATAAGAATGTCTATCAAAGTGTATGAAGACATACAAGAGAGCTAGACTAGGAATGACACAGCAAAAGAGAAAATTACATATTTGTTAGAAAAACAAATAGTTTAGAGAGAAATTTCAAATGTAGAAAGTTTCTTTTCATCTTTTGTATAACCACCACTGGAATATTACACTGGGTCTATACTAAACAAAACTGGAAATGCTCACATAAAGCTGGTAGGAAAAGAGTAGAATCAGCTGAATGCCAACAACATCCTCGGTAGGTTGTAGTGGAAGTTCCAACTTAAAGTGCAACTGGTCCATTTTACCATCTTGATTTTTGTCTTCTTCTCTAGTCTAAAAACATAGGACTATTTTTTTAAGACAGGAATTTCTGTTAGAAAGAAAAACATAAAAGGTAAAACCCCAGGGGACCTCCACGACTGCAGCATGCAAATACTCAGGAAGCAAATAAACTGCATAGCTATGAAAGCAATAAAAAGCTGCTTGACATTATAGACAGAGAACTCGAGACACACAAGAAGCCTCCAGTGTTATCTGTTATACAACGCAGCACATGACCCCCTGAGGAGGGAAAGCTCACCAGACCCTTCAAGGTCTTTTCTGCCCTTCCCCATTCCAACCATCTCCCCTGCAGGCTACAAAGCCTTAGTGCTGCATCTCTGTGCAAATACGGGACTGATGGTCAGGCTGTTGCCTCCTGCACCTTGCAGCTTGTCTCTTAACGGCCTCAGCGTGCCAACTCCTGGCTGTGAGACAAGGTTGCCTGAGCTCCTGTGCCACAAATGCCCAGTGCTTCAGCTATTTGCCAACATAGCAGGACAGAGGCAGACAGAAAAAGGACTACCACTGTGGAATCCCGGAAGGAGCAGTGACCGCGGGGCAGAGGGTGTGTGCTTTAGAAAGCACTTCTCTCTCGAAACTAGGTTACCTAGCAACCCCTGCAAACTTCACTTTGCGTAGGGCCAGAGGGGGCACAACTACTTCAAGAAAAGTAAAACTGATGTGTTCATACAAACCACTGGCCGTGCTTAGGGACGTGGTTCAGTGGTGAAATTAGTAGAGTCAGGTTAATGGCTGGACTTGATGATCTCAAGGGTCTTTTCCAAGCTAAATAACTCTATATTACTTCAGTAACACTTAGAGGGAGTAAAACTGGACTCATTATAAAACCACTCAGCCGAAGCAAATTCTGACGCGAGG